TCATGGCCAAGTTTTTTCAGCCATGACCCCCATTTTTGACAATGCAGGAGCAGAGGAACTGCTTGGAGGGTGGCTTGTAGCCTCCACACCACACATTGCCTACATATTTTTAAGGGACAAGTGGGGATGAAAAACCCCAAAGGTCCACTATAATATGAATCAAAATGATATTATGGCAAACATTCCATTTTTCAGGATGGACCAAAAAGAAGAAAAATCTATATGGGACTTCCCTTTCCCTTAACAGCCTCTTGCACTAATGCTTTCAAGTTCAGAATAGAAGGTGAATCAGAGTGTCATAGACAGATTTTTCTGAGGTACCCGATAAAGGGTTTGGCTTAGAGTATGTGCCCTTGATTTGTACATAGTGAAGGGGAGATAAATTGTTTTCTAAAGTATGTCTCTGGGTAGGCCAATTCCAAATCCACCTGCCACCTTTTGACAGCCTTTTCCCCTTGTTCTTGAAAAACTGCAGATTGAGCTAAATGCATTGTGATTGGACCTCTAGGGCAAGGAACTAAAGTAATGAAAGTAGAACTAGATGAAAGGGCAGAAAGCCAGGGGGGAAATAAGCTATCGGCACACTTCTTTAAAAAATGCCACTTTTCCTAAAAATGTCTACAATAGGAAAGGGAGAATGAGAGGAAATTAGATTTGATTCTGTTCTTGTTCTCTGCCACTTCGTTTCATCCTGGAAATACCATTCTTTTGCAGAAAGCACACTGCTATATGTTCCAAATAGTTTAGAACAGTGGTTCTCAATCTTCCTAATGCCATGACTCCTTAATACAGTTCCTCTAGTTGTGGTGATCCCCAACCATAACATTATTTTTGTTGCTACTTCATAACTTCATATTCTTGTTAGGAATATAATGTAAACACCCAATATACCAGATGAATTCCCACAACCAACAGAAAATACTGGAAAGGTTTGGTGGGCATTGACCTTGAGTTTTGGAGTTGTAGTTCACTTACATCCAGAGAGCACTGTAGACTCAAACGTGGCACAAATACTCCATATGCCCAAATGTGAACAGTGGTGGGGTCTGGGGAAAATAGACCTTGAGATTTGGGAGTTGTAGTTGCTGGGATTTATAGTTCATCTCCAATCAAAGAACATTCTGAACCCTACTAACAGAATTGGGCCAAACTTCCTACACAGAACCCCCACGACCAACAGGAAATACTGTGTTTTCTGATGGTCTTTAGCGACCCCTCTGATACTCCCTTGAGACCCCCAGGTTGAAAAATGCTGGTTTAGAACATTCAAGGTCTGTATTCTGGATCTCAAAAAGAGGGTCTCACTCAACTGTACAATTTGAGAATGCATGGGGGAATGAAATTCATCCTGGACAATATTAGCACTACCACTTTCAGCTTAAAATGCTATTCATCAACAAATGCTATGAACTTTATCACATGCTTTCTGATTTCTGACAACTGGCATTGAAGCAAGGTCATCAGCTTTGGAGCCCCCGGTGGTGCAGTGGGTTAAACCCCTATGCCGGCAGGACTGAAGACCGACAGGTCGCAGGTTCGAATCCGAGGAGAGGCAGATGAGCTTCCTCTATCAGGGAGGCCCTCCTACCCCATGGCGGGCACGGGGACTGGAGCGGACCGTAGGTGACCCCCATAGAGCCTCCGGATCTCAAGGGAACATGAGAGAAGCCTCCCACAAGGATGATAAAAACATCAAATCATCCGGGCGTCCCCTGGACAACATCCTTGCAGATGGCCAATTCTCTCACACAAGAAGCGACTTGCAGTTTCTCAAGTCGCTCCAGACACGACAAAAAAAATAATCAGCTTTGGGGTGACAGTTCTGCTTCAAGACTTTGCTATAGGGACATTTGGTGATGGTTCCTATCACATGATGCTGTGCACAACCTGCTGCATCTGACTCGTATTTTTTTCCCTATTAACCTATTTTTTCCCTATTGACAGGCAAAACCCATAAATACCTTCCAGTCCTGAAATGCTCCCATTACCTACGTTGTGTGATGGGTCCATTCCGCTTCTGAATTGACATGTACAAAATTCAAAGCAAATAAAGTGTGAGAAGGTGGAGTTATGAGGCATGTGGACTTACCAGTGTGGGATCATGGATTGGAGAATTGGCATAGTTACACAAATCAAGAGGTGTAATTCTAAAGGTACTCATCCTGCTAAATATCCAGTGTCAGTGATCACCATAGAATAGCAGCTTCATGCCCTAAAATCCAAATTGACTAGAGGGATTTAATTCAGCACCGCTCTACTTACACAGCACAATACATTTCCAGAATGTTTTTTTTTCACTTTTAAGACTGTGGCATTGAGGCAGCTAATCCAAGAGAGAAAAATCACACACATATTAAGTCAGAACAGGACAGAATTTGTCATGTCATACTTAAAAATAAGAGGAAGCCAGTAAAATATTGCTATGTGCTGTACAGCCATTGTGTGTCTCAGAAATATACTTGTGGATAAGTTGAACAAAAATGTACACACAGCACATTCCAAAAAGCTCAGAGATTCTTGGCGGTGAACAACTGCTTATTAGTTCCATTTCTATTTGTACCAATACAGCCAATTGAAAACTCAAGAGCCAAAAGAGAACTTCATTTTTACACTTAGCACCAATTCGTTGGACTGCTTCCTTGACACAGAAAGCCACTGCCATTCATAAATACTGCATGCCTGCTTCACACATGCAGCAGATCGCTTGCGAAATCAGCTTATGGGACTGTGATACACAGCTGAATGTCGATATATTGACCTATCCCTTGATGAAAAGGAAGCCGCAACAGATCAATGCTTATTTCTATACAAATAATATTTTCAGTTACTGTACTAATTCCAATGGTTCCGCTTGGTAAAATAGGAGTGCAGCAATATTTTATGTGTGTCCTAAAATGGTCATGTATAGCAATGTTCTTTTTAATAGCTCAACGCTAAATTGCAGAATGAAGAAACAAAACTTGGTAGCACAGTAGTGAATTTAAGGAACACAATAATGATGCAGCAGCTAAATTACCAAGGCATTCAATGTTTGTCTTTTTGCTTGGAAGCCGCCCTGAGACCCCTCGGGGAGATAGGGTGGCCTATAAATAAACAAACAAACAAACACTGCAGGACAATGCTTAATATAGCGAGGCATTTTTATTTATCAGCAGCCATAGATGCTGGAGACAAACAGGAGGGGGAAAAGATCTATTAGAAAGACAAAATGAAAGTCTAGTTCAGTATTTTGTAGTTGGGATCCTGCATTGGAAGATGAAATTATGAGACATCACTATGCTAGTCTCCTACACATTTTCTCCTTTTCTCAACTGCACCCTCTTAAGCCTGGTTCATTTCCTCGTTGGCAAAGAGTCAGGAGAGAAGCAGGCAAATGTCCAACTATTTTCTTATAGTGGGTGCACAACAACAGACATCCACAATGATCTGTCTGCAACTACATGAAAATAGCTGGGTGTTTGTCCGACATTCCCCTTTTCCCACTGGCCAAGAACAAACTAGATCTGGGGCTGCAGCATTTGAGAAAAGGTAGTTTTGGGGTGGATTTTGGCTGCAGCCTGGTTGGGATGGAATTCTTCAACAACCAAAAAAGTGAGTTGTGACGGTGTAATTTTGCACTAACACCACTGTAATTCACCAACAGGATGCCAACATTGTGTCAGGATACTTCTCTTCTAGAGGGCTTTAAGTGTATCACAACAGCAGGACCAACAAGAGTATTATATTACATATAAGGAATCCGTAGAACTATTTTTCCTATCTTCGAAAGGGTAGTATTTGGGGGCTGGGTCTGTTGAATTCTAATGTCAGATCTAAATACGAGAACAATACACAAAGTATTACTTCGACAACTACATAATTCAAAGCAGAGGGAATCCCTATGATCTCAGTTGGAAGATTCCTATGCACATCAAATTATATCAGCATTGTGCTAGCCATTTTTGGAATGTGATCCTAATCAGAGTTACACATAACTGCCTAGGAACTGGGCAGGAATTGAATACCAGAGATCTTGATGTGGTACTTTCAATCCAGATGAGTCATGTGGACAACAACCTACATCTGTGCTTCACCAAAATGTTTTTACTAAACATTATGAAGACATTATAACTGGGAATTAGAAAATCATTATAATTTATAACTAGAAAAGTTAGAAAACTAATTTCTTAAATCACTGCAGTGAAAATAATCTATGCCCAGAGATGGAAAGAATCAGATATCCTGAAGCTGATCTGTGAATTAGCTGACATGGCCAAACTGGAAGAATCATAGAATCCTAGAGTTGGAAGAGACCTTGTGGATCATCCAACTCCCTACCAAGAAGCAGGAAAATCACATGCAAAGCACCCCCAATAGATGGCCACTCAGCCTCTGTTTAAAAACTTCCAAGGAAGGAGCCTCCACCACACTCTGGGGCAGAGAGTTCCACTGCTGAACAGTTCTCACAGTGAGGAAGTTCTTCCTAATGTTCAGGTGGAATCTCCTTTCCTGCAATTTGAAGCTTTTGTTCCGCATTCTAGTCTCCAGGGTAGCAGAAAACATGCTTGCTCTCTCCTTCCTATGACTTCCTTTCACATATGGCCATCATGTCTCCTCTCAGCCTTCTCTTCTGCAGGCTAAACATGTCCAGCTCTTTAAGCCGCTCCTCATACAGACCCTTGATCTTTTTGGTCACCCTCCTATGGACACCTTCTAGCCTGTCAATATCTCTTTTGAATGGTGGTGCCCAGAATTGGACACAGTATTCCAGGTGTGGTCTGACCAAAGCAGAATAGAGCGGTAGCGTGACTTTCCTGGATCTAGATACTATACTCCTATTTATGCAGGCCAAATCCCATTGGCCTTTTTAGCTGCCGCATGACATTGTTGGCTAATTTCTTACTTTTTCAAAAGCAAACATGGGCACAATCTTCAATTATTTCTGATTTAGATCTCTGACTGTATTTTTCAATAACAACAGAAGTCATGCATGACATGCTGTGAAATAAATTACATATCACTTCTGTTCAGGTGATATTTTATTACCATATATTATGCTTTACAAGTTTTAACGAAGGTCATTAAAAGCACTATAAAATCATACCCTAACACACAAGAAATGAATTTCAGGACGTAAAATACAGAGGACAAAAGGGAAATGGGGAGGAACAGCTGGAAAGAGAAAAAAGCCAAGACATAATCTACAAAAATGGGTAGTAATACTGATTAAAACGAGGAAGTAATTTGCTCAGAACTGCAGGGGAAGGAGAGAGTGGAGGGATAAAAACACCACTTTTTAGGATAACAGTTTGGTGTAGACCAACAGTGCACCACCAATACACAGGTTTGTTGTAATTAGGCACAGCTAATGTAAAAAAGAAAAAAAGAAAAACGGAGTTGATATTATGCATAACAGAATGAAACTAACTTACAATAAGGCAGTACACCTGTCTGTACTGCACCCTTGGCACTTGGTGATGGGATAATATTTGGTTTAGCAGAAGTGATATGATAAACAGGTCTTTATTTGTTGTGGGTTTTTTTTTACTTTTTTCTCTCTTTTTCTAAAAAAAGTTACATTATCCCTTTGAACCTTTTAAGTTTTACAGTACAACTACTGATTGTCAACATTACGCTTGGTAAAAAATAATAATAATTAGATGCCATTTTTGAAAAGAAATCTACAGATACTGGAAACAAGAGCACAGTAAAGTTTAAGAAAGAATCAGATTACTACTAATCTAATACATTTAGTGATGTCCAAAGCCTTTTTAAAAGGACAATATGTACATTTATTTACAATGATCACTGAACATACAATGTAATCAAAAGATATTGCCTTTTAAATGATCACCAAAAACAGAGCTAGGTCCTCAAATTGAAATTCTACATACAAATTACCTGACTTTCTTTTTCACAATGGCAATATTACACGTTTGGGATGCAAAATTATAACATTCTTAAGGGTTTAATGATAAAAGTAAATTTTCAAGTGCCTAATAAGCTAATAGCCGCTTCTGCCAATATATACAATCATTCCTTGTAGGTTTGTTTTATAACTGTCTAAAACTTTAATCTAAAGTTTCCAGTGGCGCAATGGGTTAAACCCTTGTGCCGGCAGGACTGAGGACCGACAGGTCAGAGGTTTGAATCCACGGAGAGCGTGGATGAGCTCCCTCTGTCAGCTCGAGCTCCCCATGCGGGGACGTGAGAGAAGCCTCCCACAAGGATGGTAAAACATCAAAACATCCAGGCGTCGCCTGGGCAACGTCCTTGCAGACGGCCAATTCTCTCACACCAGAGGTGACTTGCAGTTTCTCAAATCACTCCTGACACGAAAAAAAAAAAATCTGAACACCATCCTGGAGGGAGTTGGTTTATTTTTTTCTCCTTTTTAAAAGAGTCTATGCTCTGTCATTTACATGATACATATGTGTATAATAACATGTTTCAATAGTGTGGTATGACAATTGTTTAAAATATTTACAAAGACATTAAATGGTGCTTATTACAATATTAGCTATACAACATATAAAGGTATTCATTATCTTTCATCCTGTACATATCCCCTCCCTCCCACATTTACACTACTTTGACACACAAAACATTGGTGTCTACTCTTCTAAAAATCTCAAGATAAAAACTCCAATACAATGTTTTCCATTTTTAAAAACAAAGTTTTAAAATATCCTGTTTCATTACGAGGATAGTTCTTCTCTAAATTTGAACTAAAATAAAATTTTAGTATCATCTTTTGAACAAAGACATTTAAAGTGAATCCACATACATAGAAAGATAGCTTTTTCCTTTAGAGTGCAATTGTTAGGGATACTGAATATCAACAGACCCTCTCCCCGGTGGAACAGTTGAAAAACAACAGCCAATCCAAATTGACCCTCAGTGTGGAAAAAGTTTACAAAAAGTAAACTTTTGTACTATTTATCATTGGAACAATGCTTTTTGAGCTTTTTATAACCAACCTCTTTCAATAACCGTTTCAAATGGAAGTATTTGCATAGAGCAGCCTTGTACTTTTTAAAAAGGACCATTCAACACGTGTTGTAACACAAGATAAGGCACATGTTTTTCTTCTTCTTCAGTATTTAAAATGCCAATCTAATCCAGAGGAGTCAAATTTCTCTTTCTAGATGACTGTTTTTACCCTGTTCTACCTGAAGAATTTGAATCCGAGTCTTTAACACAAGGAAAAGGACTATATACAGAACCATCTGAAATTCTACAGAAAAACAAAGATACATTTAATAGCAAAAGAGTATACGGCTTTTAGGTTTTCTAGCTTTAAACACCAAACCAAAAGCAACTACAGAATAGTCACAAAGATGGATGACCAATTTATTTTACAGTGAATGTTTCTGTTTTCCTACAAGCTCCTTTCAGAAATAAGGTAGCTATGTTGTGAGGCACTTAAGGCTAACTGTAAAGGAGGAATGCAATGGATTTGGTTGTACAAAACCTAGAATTGCATATCAAATCCTTGTATCAAACCTTCTACTAAAGTGCTAGAACCTGAATGTAAAATAAAAGGATTTTTTTAAACTACTAAGGTAAGTAAGGTAACTGACACAAAGATGCAATACAACTGAGTGCTTCAATTGCTCCTCTTGTTTAGAGCATCAATTTAAAATATAAATTTCAAAAAGAAATTTTACAAAACCTATATTTCTAAAAGAGTTTTTAAAATAAGATTGTCAAAGTGCCCTTTTTTCTAAACCATAAAACCATTTGCCTTATCTTATGTTCTACAATGTGATGCAGTTAATAATATTGCAATAGTGCATATTTTCAATGTCTGAAAATAGTATGTGCACACTTTTAGGCCATATCAGCTCCAACTTCCACCTACAGTAACAGGTTTTGGATGACAAATCCCATATACATGCATATTAAGTGCAATCACAATTTTCAATCTCCATTCAGTAATCCAGTCCTAATTTAACTCTCTACAAATTTTGGTGGATAACTACATAAAACCACTGGATGCCAAATCTGAGAAAGATCTCGATTCTGTTGGATGATGAAGAGACTGAAGATGCGTTTCAGGTTGAGTGCTGACAACATCTAACTGGGGTGGATATGCATCGTTGAGGTTTCCTCCATTAAAACTATTCTGAAACTGGAAAAAGGAAAAGCAAATTCTCATTAATAATTCATCTTTGTGATTTTAAAAACTGTGTCCAGTTACAAAAGAAACAATTGGCTTTACATACAGAAAAGATCACATCACTACTAAGCAAAAGAGTCGTGTCCAGAAAGTTTGTTGAACTTAGCTGATGAACCAAATGTAAATTATTGACTCAAGGTCCACTGATTTCATTAGGAACTAAAACAGACAACCTAATTTAGGTTCAATCCAATACAGGCAACCCCCAGGAAACATGTAACATGGAAGCTTGACAATTTCAAGCTTTCATGAAAAAGCCATAGTAATGGGTGTTAGAATTATTGTGATCCAGAACAGCCCATGTCAGGTGAATGAGTGTATCGCCCTTTCAAGAAAAAAAATCTTTTTATTGATTTATGTTTTTGTGAATTCTTTTACAGAATGATAAAGTTGGAAAGAATCTTAGAGGTCATCCAGCCCAGGGCTTTCCCACTCATTACTCCTTTTGCTTAAGAACCTTTTATATAAAGGTATATAAAACATGTGTAAATATCAAACATTTACTGTTATCAAACCAGCATTTGCTAGGCTTGCTAAAGTAACTGATTTTCCTTTTTGTGAAGTACAGCTGAAGAATCTTCTGCAGAGTCCGCTGTAAACACTGCACAATGGATTCATGTAAATGTCTACAACAGCCATTAGGTGATGCCCATAAGCATTTTATTGTTGTCAATTTTTTCAATGTTGTCATTGAGCTAAGGGGCCCCCATTGGGGTTGGGACCCACAGTTTAAGAAGCAGTGATCTAGCCAATATAGGCACAAAGTGGCCACCTAACTTTTGTTTAAAAACATTTAAGAGGGATGAACTTTTAGATTTGAAAATGTTTAGTTAGTGGGGAGCTTTGGAGCCTGCAATCTGAAAGGGAGGCTGAAAAAAGTATCCACACAAGGTAGGTCATAAATGGCCATTTAGTCTCAGGTTCCTGTAAAGTTATTTAATTAAAGCATTTATATGCCTCCCTTCTCACTCCGAAGGGGACTCAGGGCAGAGCACAATATATAAACGGCAAACATTCAATGCTGGGACATAAAATAAACTATAAACATACATAAACACTAAAATCAGTTATCTCAACATTAAAATCCACTGTTTAAAACTGTCTCAAATCATGCACATCGTTTCGAGATTATTCAGCAAACCATTTGCAGCCTATATGCTATGCATGCTTTAAGAGCCAGAAACTCTTTAACTACTAAATATAAGCTTTCCCCCCTGTAATGTAGGCTTAGGCTAGGATCCAAAGAGCTGTTCAGGCTCATATAAGGGTCTTGGATAGGATTTTTGACCTTTTCTCCTTTGAGCAGCTTAGCCTTCACATGATTTCAGAAAATGCCCTTGGAATACCACTCATTTTCAAAAGCAAACATTTTTAAAAAGCAGAGTTCCTTTACTATAAAGTAGAAGGAGTAAAACTGAAATTCAAGGAACTTCAATCACAATGGCTGGCATTTGCAAACACAGCTTTTCAACAGAACCCAGACACCATTGGAATCACACTGAAACCAGTCCAAAAACTACATTGGCTAAGAATGAAGCAAAAGGCTTAATATTTGATTTCTTCAATGTTTTTAAAAACCTTAGCTGGACTACAGAACTCTAAAAGGGAGACTAGTTTTCTCCTATAGAAAAGATCAATGTCATACAACATTTAAGAACAAAGGAAGTAATCTAATCTTTTACAAAAAATATTCTGGTGTTCTAATTCACCATCTTTTGGCAAATTAATAGAACTCTTCCATGGATAAATTGTGTTTTGTAAGCTTTTTAAAAGTATAGGTCTGTACTTCGACTTTAAGGAAATCACCCATCCAGAAATGATACTGCATTATTCAGACAAGTAAGAGTTCTGGAACAGTTTCATTAGTCTTGACAATATGCATATCAGCAAAGTCTGGAGGACGGGCCAATTGCTATAAATATCCTATCAAACAAAAACATAAATTCATTCAGAATTACTTTGAGGAAAGTACTATTTTACATAAATAACAAAGAGTTGTGTGGTATTTTAAATGCTAGCAATTTATTTTAGTGTATGTTTTGGTGGACCACAGAGGGCTTTTTTTCAAACTAATAAATGAAACACAGATGTGCAGCATCAAAAATGCTTATTCTGACAGTGGAATATAACTTCTTTAATTTGTTGGAAATATCCGCACCATTTCCATACTGAAGCCATTCCACACCAGCTTTCTCCATTCACATTTAGCATGTCTATTTTTGGATGGCTCAGTCTCTGCAGAAACCATCAACAGTAACTGCCATGATATGAACCATCAATTTTTATTTTTAAAATAATAGTAACTCTGAATCCAGCACTTTCTATCTAATTTGACTAATGATTTAATCACACTCATTCTTAGAAATAAAAGACTACTGAGTACTTCTGAGGGGAGCAGTGAAAGGATTATATTGCAGGAGACGGGCTGCAGGCATCTCCTTTGGACCTGAGTTGCAAGAGAATGAAAGGCTGTGAACAAGGCTGTTTCTATTGCAACATCTGGACAGACGTAGCTTGAGTTGGAATACCCAAGAGAGCTGTGAGCCAAGAGGAACTAAAGAGGAAAATGGGAGGTGAACTCCTCCGTAAAAGGAAAAACCAGCCAAATGGGCAAAGAGGTGACTCGGGGTGGCTGATATACAGCACATCTAGGTAGATATTATTTGTGTTTTTGCTTGAGACCTTAATCTTCACAATTTATCAATGCATGGTCTCCTGCAGCTAATTGCCAAGATCCTACCAAGGTCTGTATCCTGAAAGTGCAATACATGGCTATGTACCACTGAATCTCATCCTCCAACTACTTTATCACTGTTTCACTGTCCATTCTTCCTAACTGAACACTATCTAAACTTGAAATAATGATTCTCCTCTCTATGTGAGAGGGCTCTGGGAGTGATGTGAAAAGCTATGCAAGCTGCAGGATTTTATACACCCCTTCCCATGGAGGCTGTGACCTCCATGATAATCTGCCTCACTCAACCATTAACATCCTGCGTATGTTAGGAATGCTTACAAAGCTGAAGATCTTGGCAGTATAGGGTTCAATCCTATTTTCATTAATAGCTTGAATTTTTCCCATTCATTTCTCTAAGTAGCTCCTTCTTACACCCCATGAGACATTTGAAAATAGCTTTATAGTATAAACCAGGAAATGCCCTCTCCAATTAAGATGTCTCCCTCACTAAATGTGATGTCTCTTCCCCTATTATTCTTTTCCACTCACTCTGTTCCATTTGTTTCCATATTCTTTCTCCCCTCAAATTTAATTTTTATCACCCCAGTCAGCATCTTGCCTATGTACGACTTGCCATTTTGATTAACCGTGACCTCCCTTGAAGAAAAAACCTGGAATTGTTGTTGTTGTTGTTCATTCGTTCAGTCGTCTCCGACTCTTCGTGACCTCATGGACCAGCCCACGCCAGAGCTCCCTGTCGGCCGTTACCACCCCCAGCTCCCTCAAGGTCAGGCCAGTCACTTCAAGGATGCCATCCATCCATCTTGCCCTTGGTCGGCCCCTCTTCCTTTTGCCTTCAACTTTCCCCAGCATAATTGTCTTCTCTAGGCTTTCCTGTCTCCTCATGATGTGGCCAAAGTACTTCAACTTTGTCTCTAGTATCTTTCCCTCCAGTGAGCAGTCGGGCTTTATTTCCTGGAGGATGGACTGGTTGGATCTTCTCGCAGTCCAAGGCACTCTCAGCACTTTCCTCCAACACCACAGCTCAAAAGCATCTATCTTCCTTCGCTCAGCCTTCCCCAAGGTCCAGCTCTCACATCCGTAGGTGACTACAGGGAATACCATGGCTTTGAGTAGGCGGATCTTTGTTGCCAGTCTGATGTCTCTACTCTTCACTATTTTATCGAGACTGGACATTGCTCTCCTCCCAAGAAGTAAGCGTCTTCTGATTTCCTGGCTACAGTCTGCATCTGCAGTAATCTTTGCACCTAGAAATACAAAGTCTGTCACGGCCTCCACGGTTTCTCCCTCTATTTTCCAGTTGTCAATCATTCTTGTTGCCATAATCTTGGTTTTTTTGACGTTTAGCTGCAACCCAGCTTTTGCGCTTTCTTATTTCACCTTGATTAGAAGGCTCCTCGGCTCCCTCTCGCTTTCAGCCATCAGAGTGGTGTCATCTGCATATCTGAGGTTCTTAATGTTTCTTCCAGCAATTTCCACCCCAGCTTTCCATTCATCCAGCCCCGCAAATCGCATGATGTGTTCTGCATACAAGTTAAAAAGGTTGGGTGAGAGTATGCAGCCTTGCCGTACGCCTTTCCCAATCTTGAACCAGTCTGTTGTTCCGTGGTCAGTTCTGACTGTTGCTACTTGGTCCTTGTACAGATTCCTCAGGAGAGAGACAAGGTGGCTTGGGATGCCCATCCCACTAAGAACTTGCCACAATTTATTATGATCAACACAGTCAAAGGCTTTAGAATAGTCAATGAAGCAGAAGTAGATGTTTTCTGAAACTCCCTGCCTTTCTCCATTATCCAGCGGATATTGGCAATCTGGTCTCTCGTTCCTCTGCCTTTTCTAAACCCAGCTTGGAACATCTGGCAACTCTCGCTCCATGTATTGCTGGTGTCTTCCTTGCAGGATCTTGAGCATTACCTTACTGGCATGAGAAATAAGGGCCACTGTACGGAAGTTAGAGCAGTCTTTCGCATTTCCCTTTTTTGGTATGGGGATATAAGTTGATTTTTTCCAGTCTGATGGCCATTCTTGTGTTTTCCATATTTGCTGGCATATGGCATGCATCACCTTGACAGCATCATCTTTTAAGATTTTAAACAGTTCAGCTGGGATCACGTCATCTCCTGCTGCCTTGTTGTTAGCAATGCTTCTTAAGGCCCATTCAACCTCACTCCTCAGGATGTCTGGTTCTAATTCATTCACCACACTGTCATAACTATCCTCAATATTAATATCCTTCCTATACAGATCTTCTGTA